CACGGGCTCACCTGTTTCCGGGGGCTGTGAGTTTGGGGGCACGGGCTCACCTGTTCACGGGGGCTGTGAGTTTGGGGGGCGCGGGGTCACCTGTACCCAGGGGCTATGAGTGTGGAGTGTGTGATCCACCGATTTTCAGGGGCCACGGGTTTGGGGACGTGAGCTCCCCTGCTCGCTGGGGCCATGCCCTCTGGTTCCTGCTACCTGTCTGTACACTACTCCCCAGGCCCCTGTGGGGGCTCCATTCTGCCCACGACCCACAGCACCCCCTCATTGCCCTGTCTGCTTCACTTTTTTCTCTGTGTGTTTTGTGAAGTCCGTTCTGACTCACAGCCGCCCTCTATAGAGTTTGCAAAGAGCGGCTGGTGGATTTGAACCATCCACCATGCGGTTCAATGTGACCTTACCTCTGAATGCTTATCGCACGGCACCATACCAGGACTTCAGTTTTTCTCTGTATTTAATATCTTTTCCCGTTGGTCAAGCCTGACCCCTGCCTTCCTGGGGAGGTCCATGCTGGGGCCCTGTGGACTCTTTCGTTAGCCAGGCCTTACTTCCCCCTGTGGAAGACACCATAACCACCTATTTACACTTGCCATTTATCAGTAGTTCTATTAGCCCGGACTCCGGGTGTGGCTAGGAGCTCTGGTAGCATAGTGGTTACGAATCGGGCAGCTAACCTCAAGATAAGCAGTTCAAAACTACCAGCTGTTCCGTGGGTGAAAGATGAGGCTTTCTGCTCCCGTAAAAATTTATGGATTTGGAAACCCTGTATAGGGTCGCTATGAATCGGCTCCACCACCACCACCATTGAGTCTGAACCGACTCAACTCAACAGTGCTTACCAACTGTTGTTGTTAAGTACCGTGGAGTCGGTTCCAACTCATAGTGAACCCAGATCTAATTCCTTCTTTCAATCAGTATTTAAAGGGTATGGTTATGAGGGAGCCCTGGTAGTGCATTTGTTAAGTGCTGCTAATCTCCAGGTTCAAACCCACCAGCCACCCCACAGGAGAAAGAGCTGGTTCTCTGCTGGCGTACAAATGACAGCCTAGGACGCCCATGGAGCTGTTCTGCTGTCACGTGGGGCCACCCTGAGTCAGGCTAGACTCCACAATGGCGGTGTTTACTGGTGGTCAGGGGCAAGCTGTCTTCTCACAAACCTGTCGTGTTTCCCCCTCTCCTCGCTTGTCAGATGAGGGTGGAAGGACCCTGTCGTTGGCAGGATTAGCTAGTATTCACAAAGTACAAGTCCTCCCATGGCTGGCCCGCTCCGTGTAGCTGAGTGAAAACGTGCCTTGCACGTGGTCTTTCAGAAGCAGATGTGGTGATTGGTGTGGTTGTGTGCCAGGGCATCTGTTCCAACTCCTAGTGAGCCTCTTTCTGGTTTCCGAGCTGTAAATCTTGACAGGAACTGCTGAGTTCATGGTGAGCCGCCCGGCTCGGAATCTACTCCGCTGCCAGGGCGCCTTTCAGAAGCAGCCAGCCACACTGCGTTGCTTCCAAGTGCCAGCCTTCAGTTGTCACACGGGTGGCACTGAAGAGCACGCTGAAGCTACAAGTGCTATTGTTTGATGCCAGATACGGAGCCCCTGGTTTTATGATTCACAGGGATATTTATTACAGTTTGGGGGACAGCGAGGTTGAGCAGCTCTTGTAACCACGTGTTCTATTCTTTCATCTTCTCACAGCTCAAGCACCGTGAGAGTCCAGTGCCATGGCTCTAGTCACCCTGCGGAGCAATCTGTGTCGTTTGTGTGATTTTCGGACTCGTACCTCCCTGGCCACTCTGAAGCACTGGCCCTTGCGTCCTGCCCATAGACTCGTCAGGGCACATCTATGCTGGTGGGGCTCCTCGCTGCAACCAGCCCCCTCCCGGGCCAGCTCACCTCTCGCCAGTGGTCAACACTTCCATTCTGAATGGGGAAATGTGTCTCCTCGAACCCACGATGGGGACAGGCCTGAGGAGAACCCAGATGAGCAGACGTGGTGCAGGAGGCTACGAGACCTCAGTTCATCAGCAGACGTGCTGACCCTCGTGAGCTCGCTGGACCCGCTGCCTGACGCTGTGGCCGTATTGGCTTTACAGCGGATCCGGGAGGTCGAAAAGGGAGACAGCAGCGGAAGGCTACGGGGAGAAACCCTGGAGAGCCCCATCTTTAAGGCTCTGTGTTTTCAGTTGGAACAGCAGTCCCCTCATCTGACAAACGTGGGTCTGGCGACGGTGTTACAAACCCTGAGCATGTTACCTGCAGACCCTCCAAGTAGCTTGTTACTGACGTTGATGGCAGAGTGCCAGCGGCGTCTCCAGGAGGGGGGCCTGGCAGTCCACGAGCTCTGTGTCCTTGGAGAAAGTCTGGTGCTCCTTCCAGGGCCCGGCCACAGGCTGCTCGAACTGGTTACTGGTCACCTGCAGAGGGAAGAACTAGGCAGGTTTTCCCCGGAGGACATTGTGGCCCTGTATCGAATACTGCAGGCGTGTCCTGAAATGGTAGACCAGTCCCAGGGGTTCCTGAGTAGGCTCAACAGCTTCACTGTGTCCTTGGTCTCCCGCCTGAGTCCCGGGTCCATGAGCCAGGTGCTCAGCGCTCTGGTGGCTCTTGACCAAGCTCAGGCGCTTCCGCTGGTGATCAAGCTGGGCAGGTATGTGGGAAGGCACATCCCGCACTTCACCAGCCAAGAGCTGGGGGCCGTGATGGATGCCCTCATGTACTTCGGGCACCACGACCGCTTTCTCACCAAAGCCCTGGAGCAGCACGTGGCCACGCAGTGTGTCACTCTGAACTCCGAGGCGCTCAGCAAGGTCACCGCCTACTGCAGCAAGAAACGGGTTCTGTCCAAACCCATCCTGAACACAGTGGCGGAGACCTTCGTGTGCCAGGCGGAGACCTTGGCACCCCATCAGATTTTAGAGTTGGTGGAGCCCTTTGGCCAACTCAACTACTTGCCCCCCAATGCCCCTGCTTTCTTTCGGAAGCTAGAAAGCACGCTCGCCGCTCACTGCATGAAGTTCCCCCCCAAGATGCTGCTGAGACTGCTCCACTCCTGCTCGCTGCTCGAACGCCACCCCATCAACTTCATGGGGAAAATTTTTAGCCCTCACTTCCTTCACCAGCTGCAGGGTGAGCAGACTACAGCCAGGAGAGGGAGCTGAAACGAGCTAATGGCCGTCCCTGAGAGAGCCAGGAGAGGTGTGCAGGGCAGGGGCTCCGGCGCGGGTCCGAGAGCAGCCCGTCAGAACTGTCGGCGGGAGTGTGGTGTTGGTCACCTGAGTGCAGACCCACTGCCGTCTACCGCGTTCTGACTCAGAGACCCCTGGAGGACAGAGGAAAGGGTCTCCAGGACCGTCAGTCCGTACGGGAACAGACAGCCGCATCTTGCTCCCACAGAGCACTGGTGGGTTTGAACAGCTGACCTTGTGTTCAGCAGTCCAGTGCCTAACCCCATATGTCAAGAGGAGCCCTGGTGATACAGTGGGTTGAGCGCTGGGCTGCAGATCACAAGTGTGAACCCACCCACCACTGTGCAGGAGAAAGCTGTGGCCGTCTGCTGGAAGAGTCAGCCTCGGACACCCGCTGGAGCCGCTCAGCTCTGTCCTGTAGGGGCTCAAGGAGTCGGCGTCCGCTTGATGGCCATGGGTCAGGTTGGGTTTAGGGAAATTTGTGACATTCCTGAACCTTGGTAGTTAGAGGAAGGAGCCCTGGTAGTGTAGTGGATTATGCATTTGGCTGCTAACCCCAAGGTCAGCAGTTGGAATCCACCAGCTGCTCTGAGGGAGAAAGACGAGGCTTTCTGCTCTGCCCAGGATTGACAGCCTCGGAAACGCTGGACAGGGTCACCGGGAGTCGGCACCGACTCCACAGCACTTAACACCGTAGTTGGAGGACATTTTTCTCGAATCCCACCACTAGCAATGATACTCTCCCGAGGATCTTGGGCTCTTAGCTGTCAAAGTGAAATTTCTTTGGTAGCCAATCAGAGGACGCCGTTATCCCCGACAAGTGGATTTCCCGGTGTGGGGGAGGGTGCCCAAGTCTGGCGGGCCCAGTCGGTGGTGCTCGTTCAGGATGTTCTCTGGTTACACACAACTCAGACTGAACTGACGGGCTGTCTCCCTCAGGTGATGAACCCTACCTGGACAGGTTGAGTCTGGCACAGCTGACCCAGCTTTTCCTCACCTCCATCCTCGAATGCCCCTTCTATAAGGTAAAGATGGCTTCCCTTTACCCCTCCCCACCCCCGAAGTTTTCTAAGTTCCTTCTTGTTCGACCTCTCTCTAATGTTGTCATAAAGCAGAGCTTTCACTTACGTGACGCCCAGCGCTGTGGAATCCCCTCTAGCTCACCGGACACCGCACAACTGCCCCGTAAAAGCTGCCATCTTTTAGGAAGCAGATTGCCGCATCTTTCTTCCTCAGGCCACCAACCTCTTGGCTAGCACTTTATCCGCTGTACCACCAGGGCTCCTTTTATTGATGATTTTAAAAAAACACAACGAAGCCCATTGGCAGGCAGCGAGTCCAGCTCGGCTCCTAGAGACCCTGTGCAGGGTTTCCAAGGCTGTCTGTCCTTAAGGGAGCAGAAAGCCTTCTCCTGCCCACGATGCCACAGGAGGGTTTGAACTGTGGACCTCGTGGTTAGCAGCCCCACCAGGACTCCTATTGTACTGTTGAGGATTGTTGTCATTTACTGTCGACTCGGGTCCGACTCATCACAACACTGCATGGGGTTTCCGAGGAGCGGCTCGTGGGTTTGAACCGCCAGCCTTGTGGCTAGTAGTCCGTTGTTTATGCTATAGTGCCACAGCAAAACCCCTTTTATTGATGGTGTTGTTGTTAAGTGCAGTCGGTTCCAACTCATAGCGACCCTGTGTAGGGTTTCCAAGTGATGGCTGGTGAGTTTGAACCACTGACCTTGTGGTTAGCAGCCCAGTGCTTATCCTACAGCACCATGGCACCTGTCCAGGGTCGCTCTCTGTGGGAGTGGGCTTGATGGCAGTGGTCTCTGAGGTGGTGGGAGTCTGACGTGTTCTTGGATATGGATAACCAATGTGCCAACACAGACCACCTCTTCTCCCTGGACAGAAATGTCCGTTTTCTCATCTTGTCCACTGTGAGAACTTTAGCTAGGTGTCGTCAAGGCGTCAGAGGCAGTTGTAAGGGTGGGGTACTGGAGGGTAACCCTGGCTGAGTGCAAGGTGGGCGACTTCAGACCCACCCGCCGCTGCTCACTTGACAGCGCTTCACAACAACAACAACAAGACTGTTTCTGGAAGTCTACTAGTGCCTTGTGATGTTTCTTGGTTTTTACGGTGAGCGGCGACGACTTTTGAAACACATTTTAAAGCTTTTTTAAGCCACTAGTCCTCATTTTCTTGTCAAGAACGGCCCTTCCTCTCCTGAGCCCTGGCCAAGGATTGACCCTGCATAGTGACTGTGACGTCAGACCTTGGTGGCCGGTGGGTGGGTGGCATGACCTCCAGCTCATCCTTCCTTGTGTCCTCATGTACTCATTGCAGGGTCCCAGACTTCTCCCGAAGTACCAGGTGAGGTCCTTCCTCACCCCATGCTGCTCGCTGGAGAGCCCGGTGGATTTTCTGCTCTATCGGGCAGTGATGACAGCGCTCATCGACCTTCTGGGAGCCCGGCTGTATTTCGCCTCCAGGGTGCTCACGCCCTACTGCTATACGATAGGTGAGTGGTCGGGGTGCTCCCCTGAACCTTGCAGCCTGCGGGTGGGGCTCAGGAGGCGCCAAGGTCTCCCAGGTGAAAATGGAATGTCGCGGTTAGAACGCCAGCTTGCCACCTGGTTGTGAATGCCTTTGAACAGTGGGCCTAATGTCTGTCTGCTTCCTTGCCCATCTGTGAATGAGAGTAAGCAGAACGTCAGCCTCAGGCTTGCTGCATGTCATCAATGGTGTGCCACAGAAGCAGAATCCTGGCGTGGCGCTGCGGGCTTAGGCGCTGGACTGTAAAGTCGGCTTAAACCACATGGTCAGCGGTTCAAGCTCACCAGCCACTCCTCGGAAACCTTATACGGAGTCGCTATGGGTCGGAACCAACTTGACTGCACTTAACAACAGATAGAAGCATGCTAAATGTTTGTGTCGTTGTTAGGTGCCGTCTAGTCAGCTCCTGACTCATACTTACCCTGTACACAACAGAGCAAAACTCAGCCCACTACTGCTGCCATTGTGCCCATCCAACACCCTGGGGGTCTTCCTCCTACTTTACCAAGCATGTTGTCCTTTTCCAGGAACTGGTCCCTCCAGATAACATGTGCAGAAATGAGAGCCAAAGTCTCACCATCCTGGTTTCTGAGGAGCACTCTGGCTGCACTCTTCCAACACAGATCTGTTTCTTCTTCTGGCAGCCCATGGCACTTTCAATATTCTTCGCCAGCATAATAATTCAAATACATCAACTCTTCTACCATCTTTCTTATTCACTGTCTGACTTTCAGATACATATGTTGTTGTTAGGTGCCATCAAGTCGGTACTGACTCATAGCGACCTTATGCACAGCAGAACGAAACACTGCCCAGTCCTTGGCCAACCTCGCTACTGTTGCCACGCTTGAGTCCATTGATGCTGCCACTTGGCCAATCCATCTCGCTGGGGGTCTTCCTCTTTTTCTCTGAATTTCCACCTGGCAACTGAAAATGCCTGGCTTGGGTCTGGCCTACTTTAGTCCTCCAACTGATATTGATTACCTTTGCTCTTGAAGAGGTCTTTTGTAGCAGATTTGCCTGATGCAGTAAGTCGATTGAATTCTTGGCTGCTGCTTCCTTGAGTGTTGATGGTTGATTCAGTAAAATGAAGTCTTTGGCAACTTCAGTCTTTCTCCATTTGTCATGATGTTATGTATTGGCCAAGTGGCAGCATCAATGGACTGAAGCGTGGCAACAGTAGTGAGGTTGGCCCAGGATCAGGCACTGTTTTGTTCTGCTGTGCATAAAGTCACTATGGGTCGGTACCGACTCGATGGCACCTAACAACAACAACAACAACAACATGTATTTGTGTAGTTGTGAGGATTGTTGTTTTGTTTACGTTTACTGAAGGCTGTTACTTTGCTCTTCATCAGTCAGCATTTTAAGTCCTCTTCACTTCCAGCAGGCAAGGCTGGGTCACCTGCAGGTCATTAATGAGGCTTCTTCCAACCCAGCTTCTTGGATGATGTGCTCAGCAGACAGACTGCGTCAGTGGTGAAAGAACACAGCCCTGGCTCACACCTTTACTAACTGTAAACCATTCAGTGCTCCCTTGCTCTACGTACAGGTGCCTCGTGAGCACAACTAGGTGTTCTGGAATACCTGCTTTTGCAGTGTTCTACATACCTTGTCTTGCTCCACACTGTCGCATGTCTTTGCATAATCAGTAAAGTGCTAGTGAACACCTTTTTGGTATTTTCTGCTTTCAGCCAAGATCCATCTGAGGTCAGCAGTGAGCTCCTTCCTTCCACGTCCTCTTGCGAATCTGGCTGAATTTCCGGAAGCTCCCTGTCAATGTACCATTACAAGCATTCTTGACTTCTCCTCAGCACACTTTTACTTGCGTGTGGTATTAATGATATTGTCCATTGGCTCACCTCTCTTTGGAATGGACACACTTGGCCAATCAGTTGGCCAGGTAGTTGTCTTCCAAGTTTCTTGGCATAGATGCGTGAGTGTCTCCAGTGCTGCCTCAGTTTATTGAAAGAGTTCAGTTTATAGTATCGATTTCCAAAGCCCTGTTCTTTCCAGTGCTTTAAGTGCAGACTTCAATACCTTCGCTTCTTGATCATATACAATGTCTTCAAATGGTTGAACCTCATTCATTTCTGTTTGGTACAATGACTCTGTCTCCTTTCCATCTTCTTTTGATGCCTTCTGTATCATTCAACATTGTACCTATATAATCCTCCATTATTGCCAACTGAGCTCATGTAGCGTAGTGGTTACAAATCGGGCTGCCAACCTCAAGGTCGGCAGTTCGAAACTACCAGCGGTTCCGTGGGAGAAAGATGAGGCTTTCTGTTCCTGTAAAGATTTGCAGCCTCGGAAACTCTGTTCAGGGTCTCTATGAGAACCGACTCCATGATACTTAACAACAATTAGAAACTGAGGCTTGAATTTTGTCTTCAGTTCTCTAAGCTTGAGAAATGCTGAGCATGCGCTTCCCCTTTGGTTTTCTAACTCCAACTTCATTATAACATCTCACCTTGTTTTCTCAAGCTGCCCTTTGAAATTTTCTTTCTTGGCTGTCTTTGCAGTGATCTCTTCTGTTCTTCCTGTGTGATGTTCTTGATGTCATCCCCCCAGCTGGGATATGTTCAGAGTCCTATTTAGGTTTTCATAGACTTGTTTTCATTTTCTTCCGCTTTAGCCTGACTTGCATATGAGCAGTTGATGGGCTGTTACCCAGACTGCCCTGCCTTATTTTGACTGATGACATGACGCTTTTCCACCATCACTTCCCACAGATGGAGTTGATTTGACTCCTGTGTATTCTGTCTGGTGGGGTCCATGTGAATAGTGGTATGCCGTGTAGTCACTTCTGACTCATAGTGACCCTGCTTTATGTTGTTTAGGAAAGGCATTTGCAATAAATAAGTCACTGTTTCTGCAAAATTCTATTATTTAATCTCCAGCATCATTTCTATTACCAAGGCCACATATTCCAACTACTGATCCTTCCTCTTTGTTTCCAGCCTTTGCATTCCAATCACTGTTGTTGTTGTTGTTGTTGTTGTTAAGTGCCATCGAGTCGGGTCCGACCCATAGCGACCCTGTACAGGGTTTCCGAGGGTGTAAATCTTTACGGGAGTAGAAAGCCTCATCTTTCTCCCGTGGAGCGGCTGGTAGTTTCGAACTGCTGACCTTGTGGTTCGCAGCCCGATTCGTAACCACTACGCTACCAGAGTTCCTCTTCCTATCACTAATAATTATCAATACATCTTGATTGCAGGTTTGATCAATTTCAAGCTTAAGAAGTTGGTTGTTGTTGTTGTGAAGTACTGTGGAGTCGGTTCCGACTCATAGCGACCCTGCACAAGGTTTCCAAGGCTGTAAATCTTTACGGGAGCAGAAAGCCTCATCTTTCTCCCATGGAACAGCTGGTAGTTTCAAACTGCTGACCTTGTGGTTCGCAGCCCGATTCATAACCACTACGCTACCAGAGTTACTCTAAATACTAACAGAGAGGGAAAGAGTCTTCACATCAAGTACCAATGCTATCCCATCTGTACACAGGGTAGATAGGGACAGGTAACTTAGACATGGGCTACCTAAAATGGGGGCGGGGGGTGATAAAGGCACGAAGTGACTGGCTTACAAGGTTTCAAGAGGGAGTTTAGTTTAAGAGTATGGGGGGAAAGAAAGAGTCCCCACTGAATAGTTTTCGTCTTGTCTAGATGGGTCTGGGAAAAGAGATGGAGATAAGATTTGTATGATTCAATAGTGAATAATTGTTATCATGACTAATTGTGACTGTCACAATTGTAAAGGTAGAAGTTTTGTAATAAAAACAGGGGAATAGTTAATCTTACAGTCCAGAAACAGAGGACCTTCAAGGGAGAAGAACACAAGTGGAATGTGGGACCTTATCCAGAGAAGCAGTGACACCAGATGGGGCAGAGATGGGGGCATGGAGAGAGGGAGCAGCTGAGGACTCCAGATTCATGAGAAAAGAGGGACTAAGAGCTGGTGGCCAGGAGACAGACATGCAGAATGTGCCCTTTGGAGGTGTCAATTATTATATATGCCTGAGTGGTTTTTTTTAAAGCTAAAGTAAATAGGGAGAAACACCGTTAGCTGATGGTACATGGAGGGGATTATAATCATTGTAATGAAACAAAGTGTATGATTTGTTGAATGTAAAACTCATGATCTGCCCTGTAAACTTTCACTCAATTCATAAAAAAAAAAAAGCACAGATCATGAAATTCCAGCTCCATAAATGCCTAACAAATGGAAAATCTCCAGCATGCAGATCAAGATACAACATAGTCACTTCGCAGTGGCCCCATCGCAGCTTGGTTTTCTGGAAGTTTGCCCCAAGCTTTACACCTGTACAGCCTACAGGCAAACAACATGCAGCCAGGGAGTGCCAGTGCCTTGCTTTGCAATGAGAACGTTTGGGCCGTAATGGAATTCAGTGCACCGGTAGTGTAGTGGTTAAGAGTCGGGCTGCTAATCTCAAGGTCAGCAGTTTGAAACTACCAGCCGTCCGCGACAGAAAGATGAAGCTTTCTGTTCCCAAACCCTATACAGGGCTATACAGGGTCACTATACAGGGTCACTAT